GAAACTGAAAATAGAATAGGCTGCGGTACGGGTAGTTTCGCCCACCATAAATTTGCTATAAAACCAAAACATTAACCTAAATATTCGAGTCGTGTTCTTAAATAGCTTACTTTGATTGAGACTTTCGTGTTGATGTTAAGCTCATTGAGAAATATCTAAACTGCCAGCTGTATACAACCGCTTTCGCAGATCAATGGTAAAATATGGCCTCCATCAAATAGAGCTTGTAGGTCTTAACGAAGACCAAATTTCTTAGAATATTGTGGACTGACGCTTCAGAATCCTAAACAAAGAATTGTACCAAAGAACAGAAAACACATCACTTGAGGACTTTCAGCAGCAGTAACAATAAAAATTAAAATGTATAACTCGGGTAAATCGAAGAGAATATAATGGCAAAATGAAGTTGTTTAAGAATTTGACATTCCGTACTACTTCAGCAAAAGGTCTAGGAACTAAGACCCCATCACTACTGGAAAGAGAGATAAGAGTTAGTGGACTTGAGGAGCGTATTTCCCTTAAAATTTGTTTTAAGAGAAAGAGTTTATAAATTTTAACTAAAACAGCACTAGCTACTCGATTAGTGAATGCCGAATGTTTCCTTACAGGTAAACGCCTAATATGAACATGACAGTTCTTTCTTTCTTTTTGTCATGTTCTTTCAGGACGTAGGTGATCATGGCTCTCTACCTCCCTCTATCCCTTGCAGCTCTCAACAAGTTCCTTCCAACTGCTTCCTCCCCAGACCACGTTCTGTCATCCACCAGGTATGTAATGCGTTGTTTTCCCTTGTCTCTCTTTCCCTCTATTCGACCTATGAGTATCAGATTCTCCAGGCCCTCCTAACTCATTATGTGTCCCAGAAACTTCAGCTGCCTCTTCGTGATGTTAAGTATAAGTCTCCTCCTTGTTTGCAGCCTCTCTAAGACCTCATCGTTGGTCACGTGCTTTGTCCATGGTATCCTCAGCATCCTTCTGTAGAACCACATCTCCGTCGCCTCGAGTCTCTTCTCCATCTTTTGAGGAAATCGTCCAACATTCGCTGCCGTAAAGAAGGACAAATGTCATGTAACGGTTCAGTATTCTTTTCTTTGTTACCAAAGATATCCTCCTGTCTTGCAGTACTCTGCCCAGCTTTTGAAATGCGTCCTTGGCCATCCCAATACATCTACGGATCTCAGTGTCGCACTTACTGTCCTCTGTCAAGACCCTTCCCCAGATATTTAAACTTCCGCGTCTGCTTGATTCTAGTGTTCCCGATCTTCAGATCGCATTTCAGGATCATCCTCTTACTGACGACCATGCACTCCGTCTTCTTGTAGTTTATGCTTAGTCCCTTCTTCATACTCTCCGTCGCTACCTTCTGTAGGAGATTTTGTAATTTCTTTTGCGTGTCTGCTATCAGTACTGCGTCATCTGCGTATCTTTGTTGTTAAGATTGTGGCCGCTAATGCTAAATCCCGTTAGGATTTCCAATTCTGTCAGAATTACCTCGCTCTATATGTTGAACAAGTCGGACGAGAAGACGTACCCTTGCCTTACGCCCCTTTCTCTTTTTATATATTCACTGAATTCGTTCCCTATGCGTATTCATGCTGTTTGCTGCCAGTATAGGTTCTTGATTATTCTGATATATTTCCCGTACCAATATATAAGAACGTGGGATGCCTATTTTGTTGATAATCATGTATTCCTACTACTAACAGTTCTTTCATTTTGCTTTCCTTGATTACTATCCAATAATTCGTTCAGTTTTTCTCCTGGGTCTGTCATCAACGCAGTGCCATCTGCGTATCTTATTTTTTTTAAGTATTTCACCCCAAGCAAGGCAGGAGTGCTACTAGCACGCAGGAGGTTACATAGAGTGAGGGGAAAAGGCTGTGTATAGAAGGGATAGAAGAAACAATAAAAGAAGAACGGGATCAAAGCAACAGAAGATGGCGATTGAAGTTGCTTTTAAATTTTTGAAGATTGTAGTTATCAGGAAAGCAGATAAGAGGAAGGGAGTTCCACTGCCGGGAAGCGCAAGAAAAGAAACTGCTGAAGTAGAAGTGACGGTTACATTTAACTATTTCTACAGTAAAAGGATAGGACCTAGATTCTAATCTAGTAGCCCGCTTAAATTAATGTAGTCCGGGCATCGGGGAAGATAGCTGGTCAGAACAGTTGCCATGAAAATATTTGTAGAAAAGACAGAGGGAAGCCACATGATGTCTGTGAGAAAGTGACTGAAGTCGAGATGCTAGGTCAGGACCGATTACATTGCAGATCCTTCTTTGGATTTTGTCAAGAACCTTAAGATGAACAGCAGGGGAACCAGACCAGATATGGCAACAATATTCAATTTATGAACGAATGGTAGATTTGTAGCTCTATAAGATGGAAATGTTAAGATTATTGTTGTGGATTCCGAGATGAAATTCGGTCTTCAATGAATGACAAACGCAGGAATTAGATATAAGAAATAAAATGTATTTACACAATAATACAATGGGTAATACTGTTAGTAAATCCAGGAACGCGGTTAGTAGCAATAACATATAGATATATACAGTCTCGAAGTAGGACTTCCTTAGAGTCGGCGTGCTTGTAACTGACTTCTACAAGCTCACCCTATTACTCTACCTCCAACTCAATCACAATCTCAGTCTTCTCACTATCTCAATCAGATTGACTCTCTACTCACTCACTGACTGTCTAGCTCTGGGTATTTAACGGCAGTAGTTCAAGTAACACTCTGGTCGAGTCCACTTATATGAAAAAGGGGTGGACCCCATAACAATTATGTCTACCGATAAAGAATGGTGATAGGTTTCCTCGTTCTCCTAGGAACGTTTTGCTGAATTGAATCCATCTATAGAAAATAGAAAACCTTAAAACCTGATCCTGTTTCGTAATCGGATCATAGAAGCGACGAATTTGAAGAATTCTGAGTGGAGAGGTGTCTTAGAATTAAAATTCGTTGATTTTAACCGGAAGCGATGTAGATTTTGGTTTCCGTTTTGCACAAACAATGCAAGAAAAAGACCGTGAACTTTCATAGTGAATTCGTTCGTATTTCAACATGCCAGTTCATTCTAGCGAAAGAAATCGCAGACAAAAACAAAAAAAAAAAAAACAAAACAAAACATCGGTGAATACTATTGTTACCTTTGAAATAACAAAGGATACAACCAGACATTGCTTCTGCCGGCACAAAGATGAAAGTTTTGCTAGAATCCACTGACAATGAACAGATGGCACGCTATTAATTAAATTTATGAAATTCAGCTTTTGAAAGAGAATAGCTGAGTACAAACACGAAACGAATTTGTTAGAAACATCTTTTTTTGTTGGGGAGGGGGGGCGACCATCATTATTTGATTTACAGACAAGAAGGCGACATTTCATCTATTCAGTCTTAAATGTCATGTTTAATCAGGACATAGCCGATCATATCTCTCCACATCTTCCTTTTCTTTAATATCTGTGAATTGCCATGATTACATGTAAAGAGGGCTGTTTTAACCTTACCTTCTCCAAGGTTTTAAATTCAGTGTAATTCTTTTCCTAGATTGGATTCCGCCCAAGGCTAGAGAGTCTAGTCTACTCTGCTATTTAATCCATAGCTGGGAGAGAAGAGATGAATTCTTGCCTTTCTCGAATGCATTATTGCAAAATGAACATAACAGAATTTTAACTCTACTCTGATTTCACTTTCAGTGCTGATAACCGCTACGCAGCCCATACATTCTGATGCAGTCAAAAGCATACAGTAAGTTGTTTACACTATTTACATTATTCGGACTGTTGTCCTCAGCTTTGTTGCCATATTAACGACGTTTCGACCGTTGTAGGCTGCGGCCTTCTTCAAGTGATTGGAAAATTTTTCACGAATATATTACTGTTTTTTATTTATTTATTTTTTAAAAATGTATTTCTGGTAATTTTTTTACACAAATGTATTACTGAAAATTAATTAAATTATTTTTTGTGCTGCTGGTAATTTTTATTTTTTACTTTTTTACACAAACGTATTACTGAAAAAATTTTTTAAAATTATTTTTTTTTTTGCGAAAATGTGTTGCTGGTAATTTTTTTTTATTTTTTTACACAAATGTATTACTGAAATTTTTTTTTATTTATTTTTTTGTGCGAAAATGTGTTGCTGGTAATTTTTTATTTTTTTACACAAACATATTGCTGAAAATTTATTTAAATTATTTTTTTGTGCGAAAATGTGTTGGTGGTAAATTTTTATTTTTATTTTTTTACACAAATGTATTACTGAAAATTATTTAAATTTTTTTTTTTGAAAAAATGTGTTGCTGGTAATTTTTTATTTTTTTTTTTTTACACAAATGTATTACTGAAAATCTTTTTAAATTATTTTTTTTTGTGCGAAAATGTGTTGCTGGTAATTTTTTATTTTTATTTTTTTTTACACAAATGTATTTTTATTTAAATTAGTTTTTTTGTGCAAAAATGTGTTGCTGGTAATTTTTTATTTTTATTTTTTTACACAAATGTATTACTGAAAATTATTTAAATTATTTTTTTTGTGCGAAAATGTGTTGCTGGTAATTTTTTATTTTTATTTTTTTATACAAATGTATTACTGAAAATTTTTTTTAAATTATTTTTTGTGCGAAAATGTATTGCTGGTAAATTTTTTTTTTTTACAATGAGAATATATTGCTAGTATTTTTGCTATAAAAAGTTTTATACTTTCATCATATTTTGACCCCAGTTTTGGTGGGTTAAAACTATTCGCCCATAACGGAGACCCTAACAGGTGCTTCCATCCCGGGTTAGGGTGGACATGGTAACAACAGTAATTAAGAGGTTGTTCCACATCCCTGAAAACATCCCAATCAGAGGCTTTACTGCTGGATGTAGTTTTTCGCCATACCAAGTACGGAATTAAAATTGGAATTAAAAGTAAGACTCTTCAGCTTGCGTTGTCTTACTGTTTAATGTGGATTGTCTTTGAATTATGCCTCTGGATGAAATACAAGGGCTTACGGCCATATCACGTGGAAACATCGGTTCCCGTCAGCTCACCGAGGTTAAGCAACATCGAACCTAGTTTGTACAAAGACGAATGACCAGGGAATACCAGGTGCTGTAAGGTTAGATGTGCGACGTACCAGTGGTGTAATCGGTGACAGTTCGGAGTGAGATATCGGAGAGCCGAGATCAAATTCCAGTGTGAGTTCGTTGGATTTACTTAAGCGCAAATACACGAGGGTGATCAGGAATTCAAAAGAGACATGATCACAATGTCACATCTGGCCTTTCCAATAGGTATTGAGTCTGAAAGTTATAGTAATGGCCCTTTCCTCTCCATGAATTGGGGATTGTCTACGTCCAGCAAAAGACCTTCACAGGCTAAGAAGAGGACATATTAACCCCATGTACCAGATTTTACAGTTTATCACCAATAGTCTAACTAAAACTAAGTCGGGATTATTATCCGAGACTATTATTTCATATAATTTTATCAAATTCTTATGGACAGTGTTTAATCTATTTTCATTTGCAATTTGTTTTTTGTCTTAAAAGTAACAAAATAAGTCTATACATTTAATATCATTTCATATGCTGGAAAATTTTTTTTTTTTCAAAGGGGTGTTTTGTTTTACGGCATATCAACCTCAATGGGTTATTCAATGCCGATAAAATTGTTATTGCTGGTAATATTTTTTTTTCAAAAGTATATTTCTGGTAATATTTTTTTCTTCAAAAATCTATTTCTTGCAATAATTTTCCTTCAAATATGTATAGCTGGTAATATTTTTTTTCAAAAATGTATTGCTGGTAATATTTGTTGTTCAAAAATGTTTTGTTGGTAATATTTTTGTTTTGTTTTGTTTCAAAAATGTTTTGCTGCTATTAAAACCTATTTCGCACGTTTTGACCCGAGTTTGGGGAGTTAACTATTTGCCCATAGCTGGGACCCTGACAGATGATACCACCTCGGGTCAGGGTGGATCTGGGAACACCAGCAATTAAGAAGTGGTTCCAAGCTCCTCAAAACCTCCTGACCAGAGGTCTTTCTGTCGGATGCAGTCTATCATCTTACCCAGGACAGGCAAAGGGGTTAAAGTTTTGCATTTAACATATAATATGCATTTATTTGAGTGGAACGCTAATGTTTGTCTACGAATTAAATGTTAAATTCAAAAAAAAAAAAAACTGTAAAGTTTAAAAGGTTCAATTTAACACTATTTACATTACTCGGACTATTGTCCTCATCTTTGTCGCCATATTTATTACAACGTTTCGGCCGTTGTACGCTCCGGCCTTCTTCAGGTGGTTGGAATGTCGAACTGAACCCTTTATTTCTCTCACTGGAGTAGACTGTTCTAGTTCCCCGTGCCATTTTTAATGGATGTCAGTTATCAGTTATCTCCTGTTAACTCACCTCTCCAAGTTCTCTACTGCCTTAATTGGGTATTGAACTCACAGTGACAGTTCAATATCTGGTTAACATGGCACATGGAAAAAAAAACGTTGGCGTGGAAAAAAAAATCGAAACTTAAAATAAATGATTAAAATAAATGTATTACTAAAAACAAAACAAAAAAAAACACCGGTATAACTAAGCTCCTAGTGAGCGTAAAACAAAAAAATTACCCACGACCCACCCAGTAGACACAAAGAACGAAGAAAGTTCTCCTTCTGCCTGCACAAAGTCGGTCGATGAAGATTGATGGAAACAGCTTATAAAAACCGTAAATGTTTAACCAACTGAGCCCCGTGCACCACCCTGAAAGCTCCGTTAACATACTCGGAAACGCAACCCGGGTTATTAAACAAATGAAGTCCAATCGCTGACTCACAAATTGAATGCATCAAGCGATTACTGTTACTAGCTCCACCTTGTCTTATATAGGCTGGCACACGTTGTCCGATCTAGGTCCCTAACCACAAGTTTATTCGCCCCACGTAGTCTGCATCATACCTACATTTAAATTGATATATCACGGAACTACCTTGCAGGTAGGGCAAACCACCCTTAGCGTAAGATAGGAACACCGGAATAGTATCAAATACAACACGCAACTTGACAAAAAATAGCAAGTCACACATGCTGACACACTATCAGCAATGGCCTACCCAACCATAGCAGTTTTCAATAAGATGGATAAATACTAGGTCAAAAAGACACACACAGGAGACTTAAAACGCTTAAGCTTGCATTCCGCCGTCTTACAAGTGAAATGGCGACCTCTTACCGGAAACATATCAAGGTACGGTGTACATATCAAGGTACGGTGGACATATCAAGGTACGGTGGGCCAAGGTAGAAATTAAATTAATCATACTGAACCTTTGGACAAAAAAAAAATCCAATTGGGGTACAAACCAGTAAAAGTTCAGGTCTATATCTCTGAGATGAGGCATTATGATTATTTACATTGTTATCCTAATGTGGAGGGGAAAAGGAGATCACCTCCTCCTCCTGTGGGATGAGGTTGAAATAATAGACAGAGAACATCACTGGAAAATACTAAAACTTCAGGAATTAGCACATATGCGAGGTCACAAAAGTCTCCTGAGCCGATCAAGCATAGAAATGGATACAATATGGAAATCAGTAATAGGGAGTGCTTGAGAATAGCTATGAATAACAGCACAAAATTGCAATATAAGATCCGGTAAAAAAAATATGCAATAATAATAACGAAAAAATTGCAATATGAGCACTGGTAAAAACGGTTGCTGAGAGATGAGGTTTATAAGTCCCAGAAATTCATATAAGGACACATGGCCCAATGGATAAAGACGTTGTTTAGATCCAGTCACTAGAGTTCAATACCAGGCTACAGTAGTGGTGAAGAAAAAAAACTTGGAGAGTTGTGTTAAAGGGAAATAACTGTGACATCCGGAAGAGACGTGGAACTAGAACAATCTACCCGGTGGACGAAATAAAGGGGTCATTTTGAAATTCCATTCACTTGAAGAAGGCCGTAGCGTATAACAGCCGAAACGTGCATATGGCAATGAAGATGAAGATAACAGTCCGAATAATGTAAATAAACAGTAAAAGTTGGCCTTAAAAGGGGGAACATAGAATACCCCCCCATTCCAGGACGTATTTAAGCTTAAGTCGAAAGATCACTTAGTCTATGTCAGCTTTCAAATGAATAATGCTCATAAAAAACCCACAGAGGGGCTACCCATTGATACGTCATCAATCTGGGCAAACATAATATTGTTAAAGCTAAACCCAAACCCCCTTAGTGGCTAAATGCATAAACTCCAGATACAAGTTTTCCGGCATACTAGGAAATGACTCATATAAAAGGCATAAGCATAGATTTGTGATGTCTTCTGAAGAGAAACATTAGGGAACAAGTTGAAATATCAAAAGAAACCATCAGCTTGTCTACTGAACACAAATCGGAATCTTACTTATTATAAAACGCAGATTGTGTGTGTGTGTGTGTGTGTGTGTGTGTGTGTGTGTCTGTAATGTTTATATATTGGAGCGGATTTCCTACATTTTTCAACCGATTTCAACAAAACTTCACAGAACTACGTAAAATTACCTTGTGGTGATTCTGACAGCGCCAAAAATTGGAGAAACACAATTGTTTTTGCACGAAATCAATTTGAAAACACGATTAAGAGGCATCACGTTAATGAAAGGGGAACAACTCATATCGAGTTATACTTATTAATATCGAGTTATCGAGTTATACTTATTATAAAACCTAGGTGGGTTGTGTGTGTGTGTGTGTGTGTGTGTGTGTGTGTGTGTGTTCGTTTATATATAGGATCGGATTTCCTACATTTTTCAACCGATTTCAACAAAACTTCACTTTTTTTTGGGCAGGTAGTGTTTCTTATTGTCTTGCACACTTTTTTCTTTATTTTTACATTCAGAATGCTTTAAAAATTCCATTTACAAGACAATTGTTTATAATAAAATTCTATTCAATCGGTAGAGACTCATAACGATTGAAAACAATGTTTTTGTTTGAGTTTGGGTTTGACCAATTCGTAAAAAAAAAACAAAAAAAAAAATTAATTAAGGCATGCGTGTCCGTCAACCTTAAACAATAATCTTTGTCAATTTTATTTTTCAGTCTTTATGATGGTCGATACTTGATCTATCTCTTACTGTTACATCCCCGGGCAACGCCGGGCTCTACTGCTAGTCTCTAATAATTTGAGAAAACCGAAACGAACCAGGAACGCAAAAAGAAGAATACAAATCTGAAACCATTTTGCCAATTCGTACACAGAGCCCACCATAGACAAAATAGGTCTAAGGGGAATACCCTCCTTATGTACCTTAGTTAAACCATATTGCCGGGTTAAACCTACAGGGTCTTAGATCCCGCGTACGGTCTAATCCGGTTGTACTTAGCGTACAACCGGATTAGGCCATACGTATACGTGGATGTCGGAGAGAAATGTGCATTTAAACACAGAAAGCAAACGTCTCTGTGTCTTCGCCTCCATTTTTTTTAGTGCCATCTCAAAGGTCAACAGGACCAATCTTACAAAATTTAGCAGAATTATTCAAGATAAGTTTGATCTTACTAATATAGTTCTACTTGACTGTTATATAGGAATAAAGTGTCGCTGTCGACACTTGTGTTTGAACATCGATCGCCAGTGTACAAGCACAGGCGATCTCATTATTGAACTAAGTAGATCGCGTAACCATAGAGGGAATGCATCTATAGAGGAAATCGCCGGACGTCTGAGACGTGTTCGCTATCTCTAATCTATCCTCTATTACTATTTGAACCGCTATCCTCTACTCTATACTATACGAAGTATATACTATTAGTACTTTATTCGTAGACGTCTGACACCAGTAATGTTCCAACGGCGTTATTATAATTGTATCGGCGATTACAAAGTCTCTGCTACAACGAGTATTGAGGAAGGGGCAATGAGTACTACGTTGGCATTGACGAAGTATGAAGCAAGTGTATGTTGTCATCATAAAAGTGGCAAAAAATGTTCGTTTGACGACATGACATTGACATAACAACTCCAGACCCTTGATTAGGTTTAGTGATGTAACTCTCATCTATGGATGGACAATCACCTCAAAGATAAAGATACTTGAAGCAAATGAGGTTCTACAGAAAGATGCTGAGGATA